GATGGTGGACCAAGCCCAAAAACATGCGATGCGACCCAACCGTGCTCGTTCTTTGTTCAAGGCCGTGCTTTGGTCGCCAGCACTGCGCTGGAATGGAGTTGTCAAGAACTTGATGGCTGGCGATTTCTTTTAAAAGGGAGATACGATTGGAAGCCAAGCAAGATGTTCAAAGAGACTTCAATGATTTATTATGTTCCAAGTCACAAGCCAGAGTGCCTGGTTCGGAGATTGGGGCATAAGGCAAAAACCCGACAAATAGAACCAGAGACATCCTTTTGTTTGTAGTGCAGAATCCTTCCCCCAGGGCCAAAGCTTTGTAGGGGTCCTTAATGTTTGCGCTCCATTTGTACACTCCACTCTAGTAGGTTGGAGGCAATTGCTCTTAGGTTGGAGGCCACTGCTGTTCGGTTGGAGGCTTTGTACACCCCACTGTTCAGTGGATGGCAGACCCTGGACCGAACTCAGGCTGTTCCTCATGCTAGTGAGGTGTGGAGCATCATGTCATCCTTAGGTTGTCGCCCGTGACCAGCAACAGTCCGCAAAAGATCATCACTCCTTTTGAGATGTCGGCCTACTCGCAGCTGAACCATCATCCACTGGGCCCGGGGGGGGTGGGAGATACCCAAGTTCCGTTCCCAAAGACGCTAGCACGGTTTGATACACGCTTCTGCGACATCGAAGACGTCTATGCGGCATCAACCTTGTCTGGTTCCGTGAGGCCTCTTCTTTTTCCGAACTCCCCGTGAACCTGCGTCCGAGCAGGGAAAGATTCCACAAAAGCTCTGTTGAGAGCCAACCATCAAGAAGTTGCTTTCATCGATGCATTCAACTGAGAGCCGGATGCGCTGATCCTCGCACGATGAGCCGGCTGAGTGATCGGAACTTCCGAATGCGCTGAATGCGAAATTACTTTTTGGCATTCGACGATGAGTTTTGTCATGAGAATCTCGAGATTCCGCAAGTTAAGTGATGTAGGACAAACAGCGCATGCACGATGAGATTAAATCAGACAATGAAAGAGCTAGCTGAGAGACAGAGAGGAAGAAATCATCTTCCAAAAAATCCTGAACTGAAAAACGGTAGAGGTGAAGCCGCCTTCAGAAGATTCAGTTTATTTCGCAAAAAAAAGTGGGGTCTGGCTGGCTGCGGCAATGCACTCGGTTTAATGTGCTTTTCTTGAGTAAGCCAAGCTCAGTCTTCAGTGCCTGCGTAGCAGCGCAAAACTGATTGATTTACCAGTTTAGGATTCTCCTTTCAAAAGGAATCATGGTTTCTCTAAAGACTTTGCGGAGCTTCAGAGTACCAAGGCCCCAATGATTGGTTTTGTGCGACATTGCGCGGCTCCATGAGTATACTATGTGGCTTTAGTTGAGAGATACGAGCCTTGTTCACATTCAAGACTGCTTTATGAGGAAAACTCCAAAGATTTCACGGTTGCGTTTAACCTTGACATTGAAAACTGCTAAGATGTTGCCGGAAAGTGGCGGGCCTTGCCCGATATCATGTAGCGGAAGTTCGAGATTTAGGGGGGCCTTGGACCTTGGATCCAGGCGATCTCAGTTCTTGCGGTCTGAAAACGGCTGCTCTATAGCAGCCTATGGCAGCCGTCCATGGGCTGCTCCTACGAAGCTCTAGGTGAGACAGTGAAAGAGTCTGCAGAAGAGTCCTCCCCATGAAGATAGAATGACCTAACGAAACATACGGCTGGATACTATGGAATAGAACACCCACACCCACACTCGCAGGACTAGGACTTTGTGTCAAGGTGAAGGCTCTCAGACCTTTCTTACCATGTCGGTCTACCTTTCGATCCGACTCTTCAGCGCAATTCGGCCAAACCGGCACAAGCACCTCCGTCGTCCACGTGGAGCCTGCGGCCGTCAGCGGTCTCGGTGGGTCAAACGATGATCAGATTGCTTTGTGCCAGCCGTCTGCCGCTGATGATCCAGATCTCCTGCCAGTTGGGTTGATCACGAATGTGTCACTCTGTGACACCGTGGTGACTCGCGCGGTAAAGGACCGCGGTTGAAGGTAAAGCTGCTCTTGATCAGAAAGCATAAGACAAGGACATGACTGGAAGCGAGGGACTTCAGGTTCTTCTGGGGTTCTTCCTGAACTAGAGCACAGATCCGTGTGTATTATTGTGTATCATTGGTCTACTTCCAAGATGTTTTCCTTCAACCAAACGTCATGAAAGCCGGAGATGGATGCCGCATCAACTCCTTTGGTAACTGGCTCAAGAGATCATTTCAACCAGTCGATGAGTGGTTTTGGAGACTCCTGTGGAGACCCAAAGCCACAGTGAGAAGGAATATATACGTTTCACACTTTTCACTTTATTAGGGCCGATCTTGATAAGATTGGCATTGTCCAGCCTCGTGGCCATTCGGTTTGCTCCGTGACCACACCGATGCTGCTCCGTGATTCCTGCCGATGCCTCTTGGGGGCACATGAAAAATGATGATAAAGAAGACACTACAACATCCCGGACAGAATTCCAATCATTCCGAAGAAGGGCCCTTCGAGGGCGATTCTGAAGTTTCTTCTCTTGCTTCATTCACCGAAACCCCCTTCTCAGGCTGGCAGCCAGTTGACATGACTGCTCTCCGATCGATGATACCCTTTAGGCCCATCGGAGTTTGCGGTCTGTCATCTTCTTCGCGAAGCACGCCGTTCCTCGAAAAGATTGCGCATGCCACGGTGCCCGTCCACGCGATACTGTTCGAGACTCGTGTCTCTGTGTGTGTGTGTGTGTGTGTGTGTGTGGGGGGGTTCATAGGAGATCCATCCCATTCCCAGTCTTGAAAACAGCATGTATCGTCCAAATCTTGTTCTTACCATAATGTTTCATCACATTTGCTTGTAGGCAAGATCTTGTTGCCTTAGAGAACTTGAGAAGAAGATTTCCACAAGTCTTCGGCGCTCGAATCTTCATCGATTCGTCAGCAACGGTCCAACCCAAATCCCCAGGTGAGGCCCTGATTTCTGGAACAGAGGACAACAAGGTCGCAGATCTACCTCATTCCACTGGAGTTGGTCCGATAAAGACACTGCTCAATGAGGTAAAGGGCAAGGTTTTCCTGCGTCAAACTGGAGCTGCAGGGCTTCGGCCCTCTGGGAGGGTCTCCGCAGACGCCTAGACCCATGCCTCCAACCTAATAAGGGATGGCCTCCAACCTACTAGCAATGGCCTTCAACCCAACAGCGATGGCCTCCAACCCCAACCTACTAGCGATGGCCTCCAACCCACTAGCCATGGCCTCCAACCTAATAAGGGATGGCCTCCAACCTACTAGCAATGGCCTTCAACCTAATGGCGATTGCCTCCAAGTACGCCTAGTGGGGGAGCAACAGCAGCCTGCTTTTTATGTCTCGTGAGAGGTTTCAACGGGATGTCACAAGGCCTCTCCCTTACGCTCCCGAATGGATTTCCCCAAGTTCCACATGACCAACAAGAACATGTCTTTTACAACCACAGGCAGGGGTAACCACCGTGTCACCCTCATCACCATAGCCAGACGTGTTCTTTCTGTCTTTCTGTAAGCTTCCTGCGATGTTCTACAAGCCCCACATACCCAGCTAGTTTCTGAAACCTCCATTGACCTATCACAATAAGTTGGATATTCCCAATTGAGCCAATCCATCATTCATCAATGTCCTCTCCATGTCCTCACCCAGACACTCATGGAATAGTCACCCTATACATAAGTCAGGGTCATTGTGAATGTAGGCGTGGCCTAAATGTGTTGCAACAAATTCCAATCCCACGCCGTGTCTCCTTCAGGCCATCGCTAGTAGGTTGGAGGCCATGCCGCTCCCGTTCCAAACCGCTCCCGTTTGCTCCAGGCCGGCGCCGTCCGAGCTCCGGGAGGGCAGTCGCCTGCGAGTCCAATGGCACCCAGCCGGAGGAAGTTGAAACGGTGATGACGGTGCGACGTCGAGGGAAGAGGTCGACGGTGCAAAAGCCCAAAACAACGTCAAACGAGGAAAACAAAGAAGGAAAAAGACCGAACATATAGTAAGTAACAACGATCTGGTCTGAATAGAATATAGGGATACAAATCATCCAAGAAAGAAAAGCCTTTTTCGTCGAATCCGGATTCGTTCGTTTCTTTGGTTTGGGGGTTTGTTCGTCGGTTAGGGCCGTTCGCAGCGGACGGAGGTTCTGTTCTCCGCTCTTTTCCGTGGAGACATGCCATTCCCCACGTCGACGTGGCGATTTCGAGAAGAACAGCGCCTCCACACCATCACGGTTTCGCGTTCGGAAAACCGAGTCGTTTGTCGGTGGCGGTTCGCCGGTTTTCCGTCCGGTCGTTGCTCGGTTTTCCGCGGCTGCGTCTCGCACATGTCTTCGTTGCGGAGTAGGGTCATGCCGACTTGGGCGTTTCAACGTCATGGCGATGTGACGACATGACCCAGACACTCCATGGGACTGCCATATATGCCGCCCCATTGACCCCCAGTCAACCACCCCAACTGATCGGCATATATGGCAGTCCCATGGAGTGTGGTGATGGGTGGGCTCGACACAGCCTGGTGTCCGGTTTTTGGACGACCACCGAGTAGGGAGGGAGAGTTCTTGGCGTCGAAATCTCTTCAGTGCTCACCTCGTGGTGCTTGGTGGTGTGCCAATTGACTTCAGTCCCATGGGTTGGAGGAGCACCACCGGCTACGGTTGTCACAGTTGTGGGTGGTCCTGAATCAAACACAGACCTGATTAGTAATCAAAAGCTGAGGTTCAGAATGATGGAACTGCCTTTAGCTATCTTCAGCTGGTGTTTCCATTTCTGAGATGATTCTCATGACAGCTCACCACATGACACCATCGGCGTTCAGACGCTAGCGGATGGTGGAAGTTTAAAACCCAGCTGGTCCTTCTTCAACTGTTCGAACAAAAGAAATCACGCTGATCACTTCAACAGCTACCGTGGGGAACGGTGTACGGGCGCCACATCAACGGTTCAAACCGTGATTCTCATGGTGGGACGGCTGCATTTGAGGTCGGACGGCTGGTGGAAAGCGGAGGCTCGAGCGGCTCGTCATGGTGCCCTGCGATCCCAACGGCTTCCTTCTTCGTCGGTTGCTTTGTGCGGTTTCATCTGCTTCGATCGGCTGATCCAAACCACCAGGACCTGGCAGGCCGAAGAATTTTGATCACGGATCTCACCAAACATTTGACCATGGATGTGAAACTAGCCCAGCTGGAGACCCCAACAGCAAGATAAAAACCCCAGCTGGAGACCCCGTCCGCCTATTAGTTTTGCAAGACCCCATAGCATGGCTATTGGGGAAACATGGATGTGCTGCCAATCCTTTTGAACCCACCATCTTCTTTCGCCGGAGTCTCTCCCAAAGTTTCCAAAAGGTTGGTCCTCCCAAAAATCCTCACATATGCCAGCACCCTCCAGGTCTCCTTCCCTTTTTGGCCCTTTTTGGGCCCGGAAGTCTCAATTCACCTGCTTTGGTCGGGCCCTGGTACTAATCTCCCGGCCCCTTAATATACAAATATATCCTAAGAAATTCTTCTATACTTATATATATATACCCTAGGCCACTTAGACTTCCAAGACTACTAGAAAAAAATTGGTTGACCTGGCTTTAAAAAACCCTTCGTCAAACAATCGTGGTGCGGGAGTCAGCCTCTTCAATGGTGCTTAGAAGCCTATAGGTTATACAGCTGTAATACATCATCCATCGTCTTCTCCTTTTCCATGCCTATTCCCATCGTCTATCCCCATGTCGCCGGCTCGCATGGGAAAAGGAATCGCGGAACCGGCAGGTCTCCGAGGTCACGCCTGAGAAGGTGAAGGCCAGACGTTCGCTTTCGAGAGGAAGGAAGGTGTGTGGTGTTCTGACTGGTGCGACTCGTAGGGAATGAGGGAATGAACCACCCCAGGCCTGGCCCCTCTGGATCCAGCCACCCATATGCCCTACGAGTCGCACCGTTCGTCAGTGTTTCTTCTTGTTCGTCCTTGCTCCGTTCGGTTCGTACGGCCAGGAGCGCCGGCCCTCGTAGCCTTTACACATCAGAGGATGTTTTTGGGTATGGGTTTTCATGAGTATTTCACATCTCTATCCGCAAAGAGACGTTCGCAGACGTGGTGGTTCTTTTGTGGGTGAAAAGAATCAAGTGAACATGATGTGGGTGCTTTGGGGAGACTGATCACACTTGTTTATACTTGTTTTAGATTCTGAGACTGGCCTATCCTGGTCGGAGGATGGCTAGTACTGCCCACGCGCTCAGCGCACGCGCCTCTGGCGCGTCTGGTCTGGTCTTGGCTTGGACGTCCGACTCCGGAAAACCGGTCCCCCCAGCACTGTCCCCCAGGCAGCACCAAGAAAAATGGCTTTACAGCACAAACTGCTCATCTCCAGTGTCACCGAGAGCTGCAAATCCATCATTGATTGAATGTGTTTTTTTGACCGAAGTGACATGATTTGACCATATTGTTTTACCAATGATCTGTTTTAACACCAGAGCCAGGTCGTTCCCATGTTGAAACTTAGTCTTGAAAGGTTAGGGGGGCAGAGTTTCAGCCAAGAAACGATGCTACCTTCACCCCTGTGAGTGAGGCAAACTGGGAGTCATTTTGGAGACATGCCTCGAAGAATCTTCGTTGAACCCGCCTTGTTTGGAAGTGACCGATCCACCTCAAAGCCAACTCCAAAAATGCATCCACTGCATCAAACCGGGACCGCAACCCACTCTAGTACCCACTCTATTTGTCCGGAAATAGGACGCCAGTCGGTGCAGTCGGTGCATGGTGATGAGGTCGATTTCATCCCTTCTGTTTCAGACACCTTTCGACTGCTTCGGTCCATTTCGCCAAGGAAAACGGTGAGAAGAACGGAGCCGGACTCGTCGTGGCAGGTGACCTTCGACACCTGGGGCCGCGAGCATGATGAGTGGATTGCACGGGACAGCCAGGCGGGGTTCGGCGGTTTCGGGACGGTTTAGGGTTGGCACCCAAAATGAACATTGGCTATGAGAGCATAGACCCTGGGAGTCAAAGACTATCAAAAGAATGGTCTTTAGGTGACCCGAAAAGGAATATGCTTTACTTCAGTGGGGCAAAATATAGTCTTTGGACTTCTAGGGTAGAGAGCTATGAGAAGGGAGACTTGTTGTCCCACTGCCAGTTTGGCCCCGTGAAGAGAAGAGGCTTCTTCTGCTGGGAGAAATGGCGAGGTTTGCGGGAAAATGGGGTAGCTTCCATCGGTCTAGCACAAGGATAATTCTTTGAACAACATGTGGGTGGGTTCGCTGAGGATTGGAAACAATTGGATCATTCATATTGATGCATCAGGTTGCATCGATTGCATTTCAGACTGAATTGTATCTACAGTACTCTAGTGTCTTCCAGCCTCACCTTTTTGTCATTTGGTCAAACAAATAGTAAGCCATATGGTTAGGCAGGCCCAGAATCCATCAAATCCATGACCCTGTGCCTTCTTGAACTGGGACAGAGGCCTGGAACTGTCTGGCATAGCTAGACCAGATGTTTTTTAAATAGGGTTCGTTCTGTCTAAATGCGGTGATCAAAACACTGGCCCAGACGCTCCTGGACCCTCATATGCAGGGGTGGGTCACCCTCAAAAGCCGATGGTTTGGTTCGGGACCCAAAACCTGTGAACGGAGCGTCTGGGGGAGACCTTTTTGACACTTCGGTCGTTCGGTCGTCTCCTTCGCCTTCTCCGGCCTTCGGTCTCGGTCTAGCGCCTCCGCTGGGCCTTGCCGACCGACCAGCGAGCCGCGGCGGAGGACGGGGGTCTGCGTCCGACCGCCAAACGTCACAAGTCATCCCCGCGGTGAGGTTCTGGGTGTTGCTTTGGGTGATGTGTCCTTTCCCTATGATATGGGTGATGTTTCCTTTCTGGGTGGTGGTTTCAGACGATTTAAGGGGCGAAACGGGAGACAGTGGGCCAGGGGGCCTAGAGGGAGGTGGCAGAGGTAAAGGCAAACAGGTGAGAGCAGGGTGTCGGTGGTGGTGGTGGGTCGGCGGATTTTCAACCTTTACTGGTGATGATGGGGCCCACTGGCTCATAAGTAAGTTAATTCCAAAGAGCTGTTCAGCATAGGCATCATAGGCCCGAAACAGTTTCAGCTTTTTTGGTGTCAACTCCTTGAATCCATTGTGGTAACTATATCCCTATAGCCTCCAGCTGTTTGGTAATAATTGTTCGCCGCAAATGCCAACTTTTGGGCAAAAGATCGGTGAATCAATGCTGGCAGAATCAAAGGGCCGCGGATGTGCCACATATTCCATGCTCCTACCCTACTCTACCTGGTAGTAATGTAGAAGGCCATGCTCTGTTGCAGCGGAGACAGCCTTGTGACCACTCTATCACACCCATAGATAGCCGATATTCCATGCTCCTACCCTACCCTACTCGGTAGTAGTGTCGAAGGCTATGCTCTGTTCCAGCAGAGACAGCCTTGTGACCACTTTTTCGCAATTATAGACAGTTCATGGAGCCAGCCGCTGCTCAGATCCTATCAAGTAGATGCAATGACGTTGGTTCAATAGCTCTGGCATTTATTTCCTTAGACACAAGAATTATAGGATGGGCTAACGCCCGGGTGCCGCCGACCCCTATTTGGAGCAAGTAAGACAAAGACACCTGCGGAACAAGCAGGATGCACTGCATAAGTGCTGTCTTTGTCTTACTTGCTCCGAGTAGTGGTTGGCGGCGCAGGGAGGGTAAGGGAAAAAGGAAGGAAGAGGAAGGCAAGGACATCAATAGGTACCCAAAGGAAATGAGGAGAATGAAAAGGACATGACAAAGGAGCAGAAAAAAAAGAAGAGGCGCTTAAAGGAAATACACAGGAATCAAGAGGGAATCACCAGAAATGAAAGGAAAGGAAAAAGAATCAAAAGGAATCAAAAGGAGATTAAGAGGGATGAAAAGGAAATGAACAGGCATCAAAACAAATCATAAGGAACCAAAACGAAGTCAGAAGGAAGCAAACGGATACCAAAAGGAAACAAGAGGAAGCCAAAGGAAATCACTAGGAAGCAAAAGGAACAGGAGCACAAAAGGAATGAGAAGGAATCAGAAGGATATCACAAGGAAGGAAAGGGATGAAGAAGAGGAAAGCAAAGAGCGAAAGGAAATTAACATGGAACTCAGAGGAAAGGAAAAGGAAGGAAGAGGAAAACAAAAGGAACCAAAAGGAAACGAAAAGGACACAGAGAAGCTTGCAGGTTTGCTTTATCTCTGAAGATCCTCCCTCGAACGTAGCCGAAACAATGGACCAACCCAGGTTGTCGCGAAGAGCGAGCACCAGTATGTAAACCACCCTTGTTTGCTTGAACAGGAACGTGAGGGTTTTGCGCTTTGACATCTGGGCGTATCGGGGTCCCAGGCTTCAGTGAAGTATAGGCTGTTGCATGCAAACGAATACAAACAAGATTACACCATCATAGACCCCAAACAGCGTCAGCATTTTTGTTGGCGTCGGCGTCAACTCCGAAAATTCCAATGTTGGTGGAAACGAAAGCAAGTACACTTTTCTAAAGCCTCCAGCTGTTTGGGAACTGCACCTAAACAATAAATGTTTGCAAACACCTGTTCCTGATGCCTGTGTCACATGTGCAAAACGATGGGATACCCGATATGTCGTGAGAAGATCCGGTGGTGATATCGCATTTCGATCGCTGTGTCACTGTTGCATACCCAGACAAGGCGGTGGAGATAGGAAAAACGGCGTGGCCAAGCAGGGGACAAGCCCCGAGTAAAAAGCATGACAGGCAGACCTGGACAAACAACAAAAGAAGGACACGAGGACAGCGGGGAACACCAGGAGGACCCCCAGGGTTCGAAAACGTGGCCACTAGAAGCAGGAGGAAGACACAGGGTTCGCCAGCGCGGCCAAAGGACGAGGACACAGCCACAGAGGACAAGAGGACGACAAGGCCTGCCCAGCCACAGAGTTCAGGGGCGCCGCCAAGAGGAGGACCAGAGGAGGACAAGGCCTGGACACAGAGCCCAGTTCAGGGGCGCGGCCAGTCAGTGTGGCCAGCTCTTTTTTTCCCGAGAGCGCCAGCGAAGGGTTCTTCGTAAAAAAACATCTGCAGAACTACGCCTCATCTACATCTTCACATCTTCACCACTGCTCATCTTCACATCTACATCTCATCTACATCTTCACATCTTCACCCACTGCTCATCTTCACATCTACAATGACAACTGTACATCTACATCTCTGCTCATCTTCGCATCCTCACATCACACCTACATTCACAACTGCACATCTACATCTCTGCTCATCTTCACATCCTCACATCTACATGTCACATCCTTACCTCTCATCTACATCTCACATCTTCACCTCTCGCTCTTCTTAACTTTCTCTCTTAAGGCCGGGGGCAGTGCCGCCGGAGCACCACGAAACGCAACCCTCTGCGAAGATCGTGCGTGTCGAGCGCACGAAATGCAGGCGAGAGTGCGATTTGTCCCGGTCCGTCGCAACCCTCTGCGGAGATCGCGCGTGTCGAGTGCGCGAAATGCAGGCGAGACTGCGATTTGGATTTGTCCGGCGCAACCCTCTGCGGAGATCGTGCGTGTCGAGGGCGCGAAATGCAGGCGAGAGTGCGATTTGTGTCTGTCCGGCGCAACCCTCTGCGGAGATCGTGCGTGTCGAGTGCGCGAAATGCAGGCGAGAGTGCGATTTGTCCCGGTCCGGGACAACCCTCTGCGGAGATCGTGCGTGCGTGCGCGAAATGCAGGCGAGAGTGCGATTTGTCCCGGTCCAGGACACCCCTCTGCGGAGATCGTGCGTGTCGAGTGCGCGAAATGCAGGCGAGAGTGCGTTTTGAACTGGCGATTTTCTAGTACAGGAAGATGAGAACTGGCGACTTTGTAGTGCAACTCTAGTACGCGGAGCAAGCTGTGGAGCTGGAAGCTGAGAACTGGCGACTTTGTAGTACAACTTTAGTACGCGGATGAGTCTTCTCTTGCGGCTGAGTCATCGCTCGCGGCTGCTCTGGCGCCCCTGCAGCTGAGTCATGTCTCCCGACCACCCGGCTCTCTTGAGAGGTTGACAAATTTTAGCGACTTTGCTGACTCATCAGTGGCTGCTACAAAAGAGTCATCGTGACGTTGGTGTGTGTGTGTATTTCACCTTCGACGTCGTTTACTCTCAGGTCGCCCTGTTTGTGGAAACTTCAGTGTGAAATGTACGTTCTTCAGTTCTATTTGAACCTCTTCAGCGTTGTACTTGCACAACTAAGGTTGACGTTGCTGGAAGATGAGAACTGGCGACTTTGTAGTACAACTTTAGTATGCGGAGCAATCTGTGGAGCTGGAAGTTGAGAACTGGCGACTTTGTAGTGCAACTTTAGTACGCGGAGTATCTGGGGAGCTGGAAGATGAGAACTGGCGACTTTGTAGTACAACTTTAGTACGCGGAGCAACCTGTGGACCTGGAAGCTGAGAACTGGCGACTTTGTAGTGCAACTGTAGTACGCGGAGCCATGTGTGGAGCTGGAAGCTGGGAACTGGCGACTTTGTAGTACAACTTTAGTACGCGGAGTATCTGGGGAGCTGGAAGATGAGAACTGGCGAAGTTGTAGTACAACTTTAGTACGCGGAGTATCTGGGGAGCTGGAAGCTGGGAACTGGCGACTTTGTAGCACAACTTTAGTACGCGGAGTATCTGGGGAGCTGGAAGATGAGAACTGGCGAAGTTGTAGTACAACTTTAGTACGCAGAGTATCTGGGGAGCTGGAAGATGAGAACTGGCGACTTTGTAGTACAACTTTAGTACGCGGAGCAAGCTGTGGGGCTGTAAGCTGAGAACTGGCGACTTTGTAGTACAACTTTAGTACGCGGAGTATCTGGGGAGCTGGAAGATGAGAACTGGCGACTTTGTAGTACAACTTTAGTATGCGGAGCAATCTGTGGAGCTGGAAGCTGAGAACTGGCGACTTTGTAGTGCAACTTGAGTACGCGGAGTACCTGTGGAGCTGGAAGATGAGAACTGGCGACTTTGTAGTACAACTTTAGTACGCGGAGCAATCTGTGGAGCTGGAAGCTGAGAACTGGCGACTTTGTAGTACAACTTTAGTACGCGGAGTATCTGGGGAGCTGGAAGATGAGAACTGGCGAAGTTGTAGTACAACTTTAGTACGCGGAGTATCTGGGGAGCTGGAAGATGAGAACTGGCGACTTTGTAGTGCAACTCTAGTACGCGGAGCAAGCTGTGGAGCTGGAAGCTGAGAACTGGCGACTTTGTAGTACAACTTTAGTACGCGGATGAGTCTTCTCTTGCGGCTGAGTCATCGCTCGCGGCTGCTCTGGCGCCCCTGCAGCTGAGTCATGTCTCCCGACCACCCGGCTCTCTTGAGAGGTTGACAAATTTTAGCGACTTTGCTGACTCATCAGTGGCTGCTACAAAAGAGTCATCGTGACGTTGGTGTGTGTGTGTATTTCACCTTCGACGTCGTTTACTCTCAGGTCGCCCTGTTTGTGGAAACTTCAGTGTGAAATGTACGTTCTTCAGTTCTATTTGAACCTCTTCAGCGTTGTACTTGCACAACTAAGGTTGACGTTGCGCTGCCGTTGCATCGACGCAGCTACGTCTACACCCCCTCACCTCTCTACATTTACATCTTCACACGATCCCATCCGCAGATCTACCTCTCCACCTCACCACACCCACACATCTGCACATCTATATCACATCTGTACATCCACACTGTCGCTCCTTCACATCTGTCCTGTCTTTTTTTTCTTTCTACATATCTTTTCTCTCGTCTCTGTGCATTTACATCTTCGCACGCTCACATCCACAGATCTACCTCTCCACCTCCATACATCTACACATCTGTATCGCACCTGCACATCCACACTGTCACTCCTTCACGTCCATCCTTTCTTTCTCTCTTTCTATATATCTTTTCCACAGTGCTGGACAATCACATGTCTCGCTCTCGGGCCACCCGTCGTCTAGTTCTTCGATAGAACCCCAACAGTGAACTGTTTGGGGAATAAACCAGGAACTGATCATTGCGTAGATGTTCAATGACCAGCAAACACCTGTGAAATAACACCTACGTCTGGAGAAGAAAAAGCAGCGAGAGTTGGAGTTGAATCTGGAGGGGAGATTCTTGAGGGTCGTGATGGTGTTTTCTTGAGGTTAGAGAGGTCTGCTCCTTAGAGTGCTTTGTACTTTTGAACAAAGGTTTTATAGAGGCTCGTCTCTGATTGTTGCTGATTCCTTGGCAGCAGCCTGGCAAGGCCGAATGCAAGCAGGGATCTCTGGAGATTTTCCTGCGACTGCGACGCTGAGAGCCGGTAGGAAAATACATTGTTGGGCCTGGAGGGGGCTGATGCTTCGTTTTGGCCTGCTAATGTGGAGGAGGGCTTTGCGCGATGCTGTGGGTTGGGCAGAAAGTAGCCTCGCGGACTCCTTTCAATGGGAGAGTGAGGCCGCGTTCGAGCTGGAAGAATGGAAGGGTTCCAGCTCGAAGACGCAGCATGCGCTGTCTACCGCCACAGGTAGCCATGATTTTCGAGCACTATGATCTTGCAGTTGATGCTTCCAAGAACCGATCTTCTTGAAGACCTTGACAACCACGCCTTCGATGCATTGGGTTTCACTTACAGTGGTAATGACTTTCTGCAAGAACTCTAAGCAAAAGAGTAATATAAATGAACGACCTTAGTCGTCAAGATATCAACCAAGCCAATTTCGTGCACAGGGCTTAGTAAGGTACATTCGCGGCTGAGGTATTTGGCTGAGGCCTGGTAAAGCAACCGCTTGCTTTCGCGCGTCACCGCACTCGACCGCACTTGACAAAGAATGCCGCAGCTGGAGAGATTCGGAAGAATTCGATCATGTGCAAAAACGAGGGAATATAAGATATATGACGTCAAGAGAAAATCCGAGAATAATATCAAAGTCGAAACGCTGTATCACTGTTGCAACACAGCCACACGAAAACATATATATACCTGAACAAGGCGGTGGAGAAAGAGAAAGCAGGACAAGGCTCGGACAAGGCGGTGATAAAAGGGCCAATAACGTGGACAAGCAGGACAGGCAGACTTGGACAAGGCGTGGACAAAGCCCTCACCAGTGGACAAAGCGGAGAAGGCAGGGTCCACAGCGCGGCCACGGCTATCATCACCAGCGACACAGGATAAAAGGACACCAGGGTCACCAGGGAGACAAAAGTGGCCAGAATGACACCAGGGTGACAAGAGAAGGACACAGGGTTCCGCGAGCGCGGCACGAGGACAGCAGGAGGACAACAAGAGGATAACACCCGGACACAGGGTTCAGGGGTGCGGGCAGAGACTGTTTCAGAAGAGAGAAGCCCAACAACAGGGGGATACCCAGTGGAAGAGGAGGGGATGATTCTTGAGAAGCCGTAACCCAAGAGTTTGCCATGAAGTAAGACCTCCAGGCATCTCATCCACTGCAAAGAGTTCGTCTTCCCTTGAGATCTAAAAAGGGGGGACCACAGGAAGGCCGAGCCTACGAAAAGCCAAGCGAAAGATACGGCTCGAACGATTCACCAGCCTCTCATCCTTCCACAGCCGTTGCGTCAACCAAGGTGACCCGGTGCCCACCTGGTGCCCCAGTCCATGACGCTATGACACCTCGGGTCGTGTTCTTCTTCAGATCCATTTTTTTCAAAGTCACGAGTCCGAAGTAGGATTCTGTAGCTGAAGTCGAATCAAAAAGACATAAAGTTCTTTGCTGGCTGAACGTCCTTTTGTTGTATTGGTTCCTCTTGGTTCCTCTTGACGTATCAGCCCCCAGGACGGCATCGCTGCACCGGTGGGGTGCCCGGGTTGCCATGGCCGGCTTCGGTCACAGGGCTTGGCAGGTCGAGGTTCGTTCGGTTGCTGGACCTGGGCCGAAGATGCAGAGACCACGTGTTGAGAGGTTGTCTTTAAGAAAATCGTGGAAATATGGAGGAAAGATGATTGCAAAGAGCCACTTAGACTTCGATCCAGAAATGAGAAATCCAAGGGCTAGAGCGGCTACGGGTTGTTCCGCAGCATTTAGTCATGGCCATCCTTTCTTCTGAATAGTTGAGCGGATTGCAGATTGGGCGTGCCTCCGAAGCCAAGCAAGCCATCCGAAGCGTCCTTCCGCTTGTCCGAAGAAAGCTCACCATTTTTGTTGCGTTGGCCCCATTAGCCCCCATGCGACGTGTTCGCCGAAATGCGACGTTCACCGAGGGTGCAGATGTTCTTTGTGCGAACAAGGTGACAAGGGAGAGTTGTTGTTCCTTCTTCATCTCCCAAAAACGGATGAGACAACGAAATCCCTTGAAAATTCCGGACACGAATTTCACTTGGTGGTGTGGGAGTGACTGAGGGAGATTGTGGTTCGCAGTGGGAACCCGCACCTGAGTCCTCCTCATACCGCATCCTTAGACCCAAGACCTAAAAGAGCTGGGTTAGCCTTGATGCTGCAACAAGGCTGGATACGGTGATCTTTTGCTCAACAAGAACAGAAACAGGATCTTTAACGCATATATCACCTGGCAGCACCATGACTGAGGCTAGCACTCGAGATCGGGCATACGTCATGCCTGCCATGGCTTTGCGAGCCGTGTTTGGTGTACCTTGTTCGAGGAATGTCTTCGGATTTTTTGGGGATAGACTAGGCATATCTAGGCATCTAGTCTCAAGTTTCAAGCGGGACAAAGTGAGACGGTGAGACTGCCCTGAAGACTATAGGGATTAAAAATGCATCTGGCAGACCCTGGCATTCGGGACAGGAGCCAATAGCAGATGTTGTGCACTATATAGCTCATTTCTGCCATTGGACAATTCACATCGCGTCTTCATGTGGTTTCTGTTGGGCGGCCCGGGGGGATTCCGGAATGAATCTATCCCGTTTTCCGAGGATGTTCGACCCGAAGGTTAAGGATCGGCAGCGGAAGGTGCGCTTCACCCGGCCAGGTGCCAAAGCCTTTCAACCCTGAGAAGGTGGGGCACAGTGGGAAGTCAGTGCGCTTTTTCAGCGGACCAAACGACGTTTCGGGCGGTCCCAAAGCGATCGCCCGCTCCGGCTTTTTCGGCTGGTGCGCCGCCGGATCGCCCGGGGCGGTTCTGGCTCGATCGCCCGGCGGGGCGTTGGCGTTCCTGACTTGGATCGGTGACCCTTAAGACTTGGGTTTCCAATCATCAGCCAGGACCCTCCAACAGGCTGTTTGGAGACCCTAACAGGTGGTTTCTGGACACCGGACTTGTCACCAGGAAACACCTGTGAAGTCGGGTGCTGGAGTGTTTGATTCGACATACTTTTAGAAGGGTGCATTCTTTCGGCTCCGTCGTGAGGAGTTCCAAAAAAGACAGCTGCGGGTCCGCGAAAAGATTGCGGCCATGCAGAAGGCGGATCTGAAGTTGGGAGATGAACTGCATCGGCTCAGAGCGTTCAAGAGCTGTATCGGCTCAGTGGCCGTTTGATCATTTTGGAAAGGCTGGATTTTGGGATTTTGCCACACACTCTTTTGTCTCATTTTGGGGGGTGCGAATGGTGGTTCAACAGCATACAAAAGCAGGCGTTCTTCTTGGGTGGGTTTATCCACAAAGGGCTAGAAGCTACTAGGTGGAGGCCATCGCAAGCAGGTTGGAGGCCAGAAGCCACTAGGAGCTTCTTAGTGACAAGAAGCTACTAGGGGCTCCTGGCCTTACTACTAGGAGCAAGGGTGCTACGAACGGGGCTCCTGGCATCGCTACGAACGGAGCGATCGGACGCTACGAACGGTTTTTCTATTCCACCAAACACCTCTCTCCGCCCAGACGAAGTTGGGCTTCGTGGACGCACCTCTGGCTGTACGGAGACTCGGTGAAGGTGTCGTCGTCCGCAGAACGCGGCACCGGTCGTGGTGGTTCGTCAAACACGCCAGCGACCCGCGTTCTGTTCCATGGAAGTGATTGGCCCTGGCCTTTGGGAAGACCAGGTTCCGAATACCGGGAGTTGTGACAAGTTGCTGTTGAGTTGCGACAAGTGTCGATCGAAATGGAAGCAACGGTGTGGGTGCAATGATCTTCGAGGCTCAGGCGTGGGTGATTGAACCACCGGCATTGATTTCTTGAGGGGATTTCAGGTGCACTGCTGGGAGTGCGAATTGGATGAGGATAGGTTGGGAGCTTGTTAGGTATTGTCAGATTGTGATGTCCCAAAGGAGATGCTGATCTCAGAGCATCTCAAAACACAGTTCTTGAAAAACTATTCCTTCTCACGGACAGCCTAGGAATACTTAAATGATCTTAAATGTACTTCATGGGGATATGATATATCAATCTATCCACAAAGAGCTTTACAAAAACCTCACGCTACGAAGGATGTTCGTGGACGCCGTTTGAGGCCAAGATGGACTTGAAGGGAGAGGCGGCGGGTGTTTCTCGGCCGATGCGCGTAGACCACAAATTCCCCAGGCTTCCGGTCACCCACCATTTACTGAAAGTAGCCTTGATTCCTTTCATCGTCATCGATGCCCCAAGAAAGAAACCCAGAGACTCAAAGTTCAAGGGGAGGGGTGGTCTTTGGACCCTCTTTGGTCCGACCACTCGCCTCAGAGTAGACCACGACTGGTACGGGTGGTGGGTGAATCTGGGTGGCACTCAAGCAATCTAGATGAGGTGTCGGATAAAGTTGTTGTCTTTCTTGGCTGTTCGAAGGTCTCTAAGGGTGTGGATCGAAGTGAATTCCCGGGGGTTTGAAACACTTGATCTTTTCTTTCAAGGGCGTCCAACGAAGTCAAAGACCGAACGACCATCCTAGATCACCGATGCCAGTGGAACGCATCATCCAGCTGTGCTTCTAGAATTAGCTCCATTGCGTTCCTTTTCGGAGTCCAACGCCCCTGTGTGTGCCATTCGCTGGCTCCAAAGCGACCGCGCAGGCCATGCCACCCACCGGAAACGCCCAACTCCAGCGCTCGGAGCTCAGGTGACCAGGGAAATCCGAACCAGGGCCGGGCAAAAAACGGAGGGTCTGGTTCTTCATGGTTCTTCATGGTTCTTCATGGTTCTTTGGCTCCAAAGGTCTTCCTTCAAGCTCTTTGGGCCAACTGTTGATCAAAATCCTTTGGCGTCCTTGCAAGGAGTGAGGCATTAGCGGCATAGTCCTTATTTGTCACTGTCATGTCACTGTCATAGTCCTTATTTGTAACAAGAAGCTCCTAGGGTGGAGGCCATTGGCATTGCCTGGGTGAACCATTTTTGGTTCCACAGCTGCGTGATCAACACCGAGGCGTATCAGTGGAGAAAGCTGCGCAGGGAGGCACAGGGAGGCACAGGCAGCATCACAGGGTCTTTTTGGAACTCACAGGAAGTCCACCCCTGGGCACGGAAAATCTCCGCTTGGCAGCATGGAAGTGGTCGAGTTCTTTCCTTTTGTATTGTGATTGTCCTCTTCTCGCATCAAGACAAGAACAATCCAAGCTGATGTGTTCGACTGTTTGTCGCGGGTCTCCTGACCGGTTCAGCGTCGTTCGCACCTTCCGTCGATTCTCGACCACTTCCCAAGCAACGAAGTAGCAAACTGATAGTTCATAGAAAAGGAATCTGCGCACGACCCGAATGACCCGAAATTTAGACCGACGGGATCGAAGCAATCCTCATAGAGCCCGAAGACACCCCCCCGAACCTCTCCCCTTCGATTTGAAGAGAAGTAGATAAGGCCTCAACAAGGCCTTAAAGCAGAAGTCCATGTTTTGCATGTGGCTTGGTAGACTCGGGCCAAACTGAGTTCACCAAGGATCACCGGAATTCACTCTCCGCCACTAACCTTGGTGTGATCACAATACATGGAACTCTCTCACCAACCTCCCTAAATGAACCGTTTCATCACCTTTATATAGTGAGCTCCAAGGAATTCGAGTCTCAAAAAGCCCCTTCCATCCTCGGAAATAAGGCCGGCTTAAGGATTTCAAAGGGGGGGGAGCTTTAGGGAGGGGTGTTGGGCTTCTATCCAATTCCCGGCTTTTGGAGACGGCGCCCGCCTTTCAGGTTCGATTCCTCCAGGGTCCAAGAGGCCGCCGTGGGGGGTTGGACGGAAACCCTGTTCGATTCCATGCCATGCCCTCCATCTTGATGGAGGGGTGTCCCACGTGGCGAAAGACACCGCTTCGTTCCTTTTGGGCGTCCGTCCGTCAAGTCTCCCCAATGGCGGGCCGGTACGTCAAGCCGTACGTCTTCGGTCGGAGGTCGGAAAAGGGACCGAAGTCGTCTTCGGTCGATGTTGGATGAGGAAAGAAAGATGATTTTTGCGATGTCTCGAGTCTGGATTGGTTCATGGAGCGAACAAAACTATCCTACAGTCACTCTGCCTCGTTTAGGTCATTGTTGATGCATTCTACAGGAACTTGGGACGGGTTTCTTTAAGAATCTATTGTGTTTTGTTTAAATGCACGTTGCTTTGTACCGAAGTTTGGATCTGTAGGACTTTGAATTTTCGTGTCTCAGCTTGTGTGTGGCTCTCCACTGAAGGCAGAGAAGGCAGTGCTGACACCAGCAGAAGCTCCACCGCAGGGGGGAACCCAGCGCTGAGAGACGGGCGAGGGCGAAGGCCGAGAGACTGGAGGAACGGTTTGACCATGTTTGACCCCTCGCTAGTAGAAACAAGTGCCACGCTAGTAGTAACAAGTGCATCGCTTCTAGTAACAAGTGCCTTACTAGTAGTAACAAGAAGCTACTAGGGGCTCCTGGCATCGCTACTAGGAACAAGAAGCTACTAGGAAGCCGGGTGTTGCAACGGGTTGGTGGCGGGAAGCTGGGGGCGAACGTGGCCTTACCACGAACGGAGCGATCGGACGCTACGAACGGGGCGAAACTGGCCTTACGTTCGTAACAAGAAGCTACGAACATAACAAGCCCTTTGAGAATCTCAAACGACGTGCTCCAAAACCTCAAGAACAGAGACCCCATCACCCTCCCTTCAGTCCCTGATCCGTTTTTTTTCCCATGTCGTCCCCAGGCCACCTCCCCTGGATCACTGGACGCCGCCGGAGCGCTGGGCACCTCCGTTTTGGGCGCGTTGGTCCAAGTGTGGGAGAAAAAAGGAATCTAGAGCCGTGTGTGTGGCCGCGTTTTTGGCCCCCTCCTACTAAGCTCCTTTTGCCTGAGGGCGGAGAGGAGCTTCCTTGAACAAGCGCTCGCACTAATGATTTGGTTCCTAGATTTTTAGGAAACTAAACTCTTATCAAGTTCTTCATGTCCCTTCTTCTTTGCCAGTTCGCGTCCAATAGACCTTCCTTATTGATTCTTTCTCTTTCCTTACGTCTGGAGAATCTTTTCAGATAGCTTCTTGGTTTGAGAGAAAACCCAGAAAGCTACCAGGTGGAGGCCATCGCTAGTAGGCTGGAGGCCATTACTACTAGTTTCTAAAAGCTATATCACACCAAAGACACCCAGGAGCCTGATGAGCCACCACCCGCAGAGAAACAGGCCCGGTCTTCTGCACAGTGGAGGGTCTTCGGGCCTGATGTTGCAGAACTGTGTTTTGGGGTTCGTGAGGAAATTTCTTTGGGCCCTTAGGAACTGATTGTCCTGTCCTTTTTTCAATAGCAGAACTGGTTATCCGTCTGGTTTTGATTGCTGTTATGTTCATCTCATCGGATTCTGGTCGCAAGAGTTGATTCAGATCAACGATGAGCCACGTCCTCCGAGCATGTCGAGTGGCTTTGACATGTTGCCGTATGTTGCCCTTCGAAAGATTGGAGTGCTTGCAGGAATCTACCCCAAGCTTCCAAGCTAGGCTGGAGCGGTGGGTCCTTCTTGCAGCATTTCTTCCACATGAAATCTCCGATTTCTGCATCTATTTCGACAGAAGTAGAGAGATTGAGATGCTGTTGCACGTGTCTCGCTGCAGAAATTGCCCAGGGATCCTGCACCTGCCGAGCAGGTTGAGGCATCCGAAATGGGAGGGTCCCATTTGTTAGTTTTGATAGAAATTGGACTTCTCAAGAATCCTATGAACCAGAAGATTATGAACGCACGGTCCCAGACAGGAAGGGATCAAGGTGATAAAAGCTCAGATTCGAGAGCAACTCAAATGAGGGACTCAGATTAGACTCAAAATCGACTCGGGAAAAACACAAGGAAATACTTCGGAACAACTCAAAAGAAACTCAAGGAACAAGTAAAAACAGCAAGTCTTTGCATAGAATTTCGTAGAACTCATGAACGCAAGCCTGAATAAAAAATCAAAACAACTTGCTCCTCGAGTATCTGTTGAGCACAACTGTTTGGTCACTGCGTGTCCTCAACCGTAGGAGCAATGTGGGTAGTTTATAGTTTCCAACTGTTGACCGAGAGCTGACATCGGCAGGTCAAGCAAGAAATGCCACCTGCCAAGGAGCCACAATGCTTTGACCTGGCTCTTAGAATGTAAGGGACTGACCAGTTCAATTTCCTGCTATCAGTGAGAAAAGAAGAAGCTGTTTGTTTGTTTCCTCTCATTTCAGGTTTGGAGAGAAGAATCGCTTGCTCCACCTTCCATCCGAAGAACATTTCTAGGGTAGACCCCCAATATGGAAGGAAGCATGAGCCAGACGGATTGAAGAATCTATCCAAATATATAGACTTGCTGACTTGCTTGAAAAGTCCTAGCTTGGGACCATTGAAGCACCTCAATCTGCTTGGGACCCATCGAACAAGATCAGGAGCCGGACGTGCCGCCACCGCCACCCTTTCAGGCGAAATGCGACCGAAAAGAACTGTGTTTTGGGGTTCGTGAGGAAATTTCTTTGGGCCCTTAGGAACTGATTGTCCTGTCCTTTTTTCAATAGCAGAACTGGTTATCCGTTTGGTTTTGATTGCTGTTATGTTCATCTCATCGGATTCTGGTCGCAAGAGTTGATTCAGATCAACGATGAGCCACGTCCTCCGAGCATGTCGAGTGGCTTTGACATGTTGCCTTGCCGTATGTTGCCCTTCGAAAGATTGGAATGCTTGCAGGAATCTACCCCAAGCTTCCAAGCTAGGCTGGAGCGGTGGGTCCTTCTTGCAGCATTTCTTCCACATGAAATCTCCGATTTCTGCATCTATTTCGACAGAAGTAGAGAGATTGAGATGCTGTTGCACGTGTCTCGCTGCAGAAATTGCCCAGGGATCCTGCACCTGCCGAGCAGGTTGAGGCATCCGAAATGGGAGGGTCCCATTTGTTAGTTTTGATAGAAATTGGACTTCTCAAGAATCCTATGAACCAGAAGATTATGAACGCACGGTCCCAGACAGGAAGGGATCAAGGTGATAAAAGCTCAGATTCGAGAGCAACTCAAATGAGGGACTCAGATTAGACTCAAAATCGACTCGGGAAAAAACACAAGCAAATACTTCGGAACAACGCAAAAGAAACTCAAGGAACAAGTAAAAACAGCAAGTCTTTGCATAGAATTTCATTCAACTCATGAACGCAAGCCTGAATAAAAAATCAAAACAACTTGCTCCTCGAGTATCTGTTGAGCACAACTGTTTGGTCACTGCGTGTCCTCAACCGTAGGAGCAATGTGGGCAGTTTATAGCTTCCAACTGTTGAGCTTGATTGCCGAGAGCTGACATCGGCAGGTCAAGCAAGAAATGCCACCTGCCAAG